ACATCATAGTTACCGTGACAAAACAAAAATCATTATTACTTATTTTTAACAAATAGTTTAATAATTAGTTACAATTGTTATTATTAGTTAAAATTAATTAACTTTACTCAAATAAACTAAAATCGTAGTCGTGGATTTCTTGGTGTATTTCTATATTATGAAAGATGACACTTGGATGTTCCGCCGGGGCGAATAGCCACAGATTAGGGTAATACTAACTAGATTACCTAATTGTTGACGACTACTGATATTGAAATTTTCTTCGACATACAGTAAAGTTTTTTTTCTCGTAGTAATTCTGTTTTATAATTCATTTCGTAAAGCCAATATTACTACTGCCGCGAAACCGTCCATTACATACTGAAAATATTATAATATAACATAATATGAAAATGTTTTCTAGATAATCTACATCTATTCTTATAGTACTAAACCAAAAATATGTTTATTTTGGCTTGTTCGTGTATATCAGTCACATTGACTAATCCGTTTTCAGGAAAATCTGAAACTATTACCTCTACCTCTAACATTTATACTTATTACAACAAATTAAACTAAAATTCACCTTTTGTCCTTAACTTGCTTAATAGACATTTTACATACTAGCCTGGCGGTGACCGCCTCATATTCTCTTTCAGATATTTAGCAATAAAATAAAGAAACCTTTTGTCCTTAACTTGCTTAATAGACATTTTACATACTAATTTTGATAATAATTATTATTTTTTGTCGTGGTAACTATGATGTTATAGCGTAATTGTATTAAAGATATAGGTAAAAATAGAATAAATTGAAATAAATCGCAAATTATTAAAAATAGGTATATGACATACTTAATAAAAGTTGAAGAGCTTTGCAAAATCTATCAGAAAAAATCAAAATATATAGGGTGTACCATTTAAAAAAATTGAGATTTTTTTTATTTTAAGCAGTTGAAATTCATAAATATATTTTGAACACCCTGTAACATTTAACTAAAATATCTTAACATATATCTTCTTTTTAATCTCTATAGAACTCTCATACCAAATTTTGGTATTCCATCTTCAGAAACAATGGTACCACTGACAATTTTTTACCACACTGCAATTTAACATTTGTATAAACAAATTTAAATATTACAAAAACTATTAATTTTAGGTATATAACATTATATATAAAAAAGTTATAGAATTTTCGGCGGAATCTAAAAATAAAATAAAAAATAGGGTGTTGTATTTAAAAAAACATATGTTATATCCGCCAAACTTTTTGATGCACCCCGTATACTCTATAATAATTTTAAAATGTGTATCTTAACCTTCCCTATCACTTTTGCTTTTAACATTTTTTGTAAACCTCGAAACATATGAGATAATCGACTTTACTCTATCGTTGACTCACCCTGTACATGGGATTTCCTAGGTTCAAGTACCCACGCGATGCAATACACGCTATATTTTCAAAAGCTTTTGTTTATAATTTAGTCCATAATTGACATTTATAAAATGAAATCCAATTGGGCAATTTAGCAGACACTTTTATAATGCGAGCAATAAAACTTGTGTTATCTTTTCTTCACCCATTTATAAATAAGTTCTACAGTAATTCCCGTCTAAATTGTATCAATATGGCCCCAAAATGTAGCCATTATTCGTATTTAATGTAGAAAATTACAATATTAGTACGGGTAATAACAGCGTTTAATATATTTTGTACAATTTTTTATACATAAAATATCCCTTAAAGGATACTAAAATAGTGTATTTTACAAAAAAAACAATATTTTTCAACTCCCTGTAAACTCGAACTCATGTGAAATAGAACAAATAGAAAGTATGTCTCAAATTCATATAATTGATTCAGTATAATATATTGTATCTTATCTATCATATCTACTCATTAAATATATATATATAACAGTTAAGAAAACCACGAGAACAAACAGGCTTTAGAAGCGGCTTCAGCACTATTGATCGCATACAAATATTAGGAGAAACTAGCAGCCGAACGACTTTTCGACTCAATATATCCTAAGGCAATACTAGAAGCCCTAGTGCAACAAGGTGTTGACAGGCCTTATATAGAATCTCTCGCCAATATATACGAAGACGTCAAAGCAAGAGTAATCATATATACAGGGTGAGTTTCCTACGATGTTCTCTATGGGTATCTTGGAAACTACTGGAGATAGAGAGTCGGTTAAATGGGGAAAGAATTGCAGTTTTGTGGGGTCATAAATATGCGCCTTTCAGATTTTTGAAAAAGTTCATGGCTTACTAGATATTTCGAAACAAACAAATTCCGGCTATTTTAAAAATTGTCCCTAATTCTATTATAAGCTATTTTAGACAAAATGTTTTCAGATAAAAGTTGTAGATAATCACACCCTTAATGAGATCGTGTCCTCTGTTTTTTTCTAAAGCCTGTCATTTTTGAGATATCATACAAACATATGTTTTTTTTTAAATGGAAACCATAGTTGGCCATGACTTCATAAAAAGCGGCATTTTTTAAGCTTTTTAGCGATATAAGCTATAATATGTTTTCTTGGAAAAATTACTGAGTTATAGCCAATTCTTATCATTTTTAAACAATTTCACTTAGTTAGCCATGGAAACAAGTTCAATCGCCGTTACTCTCAGAAATGTGAAGCTGTCACATTCAAACTTTGTAAATTAAAATAAACAAAAATTGTAAATATGAATTTCTCAATGAGAAAAGCGTGTAGATACTCGCGCATCAATAGAGTGTTTCCAAAATGACTTTCATTATGCCCCCCCCACCGCATAATGAAAGAAATGTTAAAAATTATTGATATCATAATATTATAAACTCAGGGATAGGAAGAGGTGGACTAATTGCATGGGCCTCCTCGATCACCTGACCTATCCATTTTAGATTTTTTTATGCGGTATGGTTAAAAATAAGGTTTACAAAAGAATTTATGAATTAAGAGAGGCACTCGAAGTGGCGGTACGAGAGAAGTTTAATTAAGTCAACCGGTCCTTTTGTGAGAATAGGTAATAATTCAGTTTTAAAAAGATGTAACTCAAAACAATTGCGGATTTTTTGAACATTTTCTAAAATAACTTAAAGTGTATGCAGTGACTGCAGCGATATTATTTTTTTAAGTTTTAGTTTGTGTAATGTAAATTCTAAAGAACCGTTTAGTAATATATTCTGACTTTTTATTTATAAATCACAAAAGAATAAGAATGTAAGTGAAATTAGTCAAGAAAGATAAGAATTGGTTCTAACAAGTCTTGAAAATCGTTCTCTAAAAAACATAACATTCACCGGTCAACGTATCCTCGAAAATGTATGGTCAAGAAAAGTTGAACCAATAATCTTACACGCTTTTCTTCATTTGAAAAATTCATATTTACAATTTTTGTTTACTTTAATTTACAAAGTTTGGATGTGGCAGCTTCACATTTATAAGAGCAAAGACGATTGTTTCCATGGCTAACTAAGTGAAATTATTTAAAAATGATAAGAATTGGCTATAACTCGATAATTTTTCGAAGAAAACATATTATAGCTTATATCGCTGAAAATCTTAAAAAATGGCACTTTTTATAAAGTCATGGCCATCTATGGTTTCCATTTAAAAAAACATATGTTTGTGTCAAATGTCAAAAATGACAGGCTTTAGAAAAAAACGGAGGACACAATCTCATTAAGGATGTGATTATCTACAACTTTTATCTGAAAACTTTTTGTCTAAAATAGCTTATAATGGAATTAGGGACAATTTTTAAAATAGCCGAAATTTGTTTTTTTCTAAATATCTAGTAAGCCATGAACTTTTTCAAAAATCTGAAAGGCGCATATTTATGACCCCACAAAACTGCAATTCTTTCCCCATTTAACCGACTCTCTATCTCCAGTAATTTCCGAGATACCCATAGAGAACATCGTAGGAAACTCACCCTGTATAAGAACTCCAGAGTTCCCAATTATATTCCCAATATTGTTATAGAAATTCTAGAACCAAATAATTCTAAAAATATATTACAATTAGAGTCAACACCATCCCCAAATGTCCAAAAACAAACAACGTATCAGATCATCAAAGATATGACGATAAAATCAACAATACATCTGCATTAAGTTCAATAGAAAATATCACAACTGGAGAGCAACCTAATAAAATTTCTACGACTACTCCCGACTCTATTCCCACTCCTATTAAAAGGGCAATTTTTGGGCCTGATTCAGAAGAAAACATAGAAATAGAAATTTTTTGTAAACAATGCTGAGTTAATCCAACAGAGACTACTTGTGAGGAGTTAAATTGACTGATAAACAAATTTGCCTAACAAACAAAAAAATGCTTACCGTTTTGGAAAGTTTATCTCTTTCCGTCGTCGGAAGCAAAAAAATACAAAGAATAAAGAAGAAAACTATTTAAAATATTCAAATGCAACTATTTGGGAACACTTTAGTTTTTTTAAAAAGTCACGTGTACAAAAACAGGTGACGTTCAGTTAAAATGACATTATATTCTATTAGTTAAACTTCAAAATTAACAATTACTACTTGATCACAATTGCTTAATAAGGTAAAACCAAAGGCGTCAAACTTTCTGTATGATTATTTTTAATTTGTTTCTAATTTTTACCTATGTTGTTTATTTATGTTGTGTTCTTTAAAATCAAAGATGCGATTGCCATACATTACTAACATCTACAGATGCATGAGCAATACATTTTTTATTTTTATTAGATTGTATTAAAAAGGTCTCTTTTATTTTTGTTTTAGAGGCTATCGCTTCTTTCATTATAATTTTGGTGGTTTTAAGATCTATTCTGTGCCCTGTGTCCCATAAATCCTGACAAATCTATTACATTTGGGAAAGTCGCCCTTTCTTAAATAATATTTATGTGCTTTAATTCGAACATTTAAGAATGCCAGATTTTCTTGCAGTGGCGAAATACCCATATAGGATTTTTTGGAGGGATGAATCCGCCACATAGGTTTAGACATATGCTAAAAAATAGGTCTAAGACACTTACCATATATGGTGGTAGCTAATTTGGCAGAGGTAAACATATAATAGACTCCATAGAGGGCCACGGCATGCAAAAAGATAAATATGATGATGTTCCTCCACACCAGCTCGATTTTTCTGGGTTGCGGTTTGCTGACTTCCGGTGGAATTATGCTGGCACTGATTTCGTCGTCGTTCTCGTGCAAAACCCCGGTGGCCATGGACACTACGTTGGGAGCCATGTTTCTAACACTTCACAGAAATATCTGAAATGAGATAAACAAATTATTAGTTAGAAACTTTAAAAATAAATAGAGATATATATTAGGAGAAAAAATCATACCAATTTTCATTCTCAATGCTGCTTCTTTGATTTAAATCTTATATTATTTTGCATATCATAAAATCCAAAAAGTGACTATCAATAATTATGAAATTTATGTTTGACATTCTGATATCATTACTGATTGAAAAAAAATTAAACGAATGATATTATTCGTTTTTTGACTTTGGCATGTTAAAGTGACAGTACAGAAATGTGACATAACTATACAGGGTGTTTCAAAAACATGTGCTATCAGTCGTGGGGAGATTTCTCGCGCAAAAATCATAGGATGACAGAACAAAAGCTGGTGACATCCATACCAATCTATTTATTTTACTAAAAAAAGTGTCTAATATTTTTTTAAGTTAACTATAGATGGGTTTAAATATAAATTCGTCATGCGTCGTCTCTTGTTGTTTCTAACGAGATTTATTGGTTTATTTCAAAAATGACAGATCATATTTCAAATTTATTGGTTTGACGGAACAATGAACAACAAACGGACGCCGGCGCCGATATGTATGAACCCGCCTTCGCATTTTTGAGGATTGTCAAAGTATTGCCAAATTATAGGTTATAATTTTGTGTCAACTTATGCGTCAAATACCCTACGTTTTGAATGATGATGAATTTTGATTCGTGTTATTACGTGTGTCTTGTGTCTTTTGAAGTCAAGTGGAGGAAAAATCGAGGGAAAATTAACTGTAGATCTAGAGCACAGTTTATAGTTAATACTCAGTCCTATACACTAATAACGATAACATAGAAAACAAATTTCTTGCAGTATAGGTATATAATAAAATTATATAAAGATTCTTGCCACTTAACTGCTGATATAGAAATTTAATTCTACGCTGTGTCTGTCATAATGTGGATCAACCTGCTCTCACTACCGGTTTCGGAGCCCTACTCCATCATCAGGTGAGCCTGGGCAGATCCACAAAATGACAACCACAGCGCAGAGATAGTTAATTCCGACTTGTCAGAAAGTGTCGGTTAGATATTAAGTCACCGAACGGGAGATAGCGGCCTGCGTGCAATGGTAGTACTTTCGTACCACTACTACTACTATCGATAGTGCACCTCGGTGGTACGAATGTACTATCATAAAAAAAAACAACCCTTAACGAGAGGAAATCGAGAGGTACGATATTTGTGGGCTCAAGATCATGTTCAGTGGTCGAATGAACAATGGGCCAATGTTCTCTTCACGGATGAGTCACGCTTTGGAATTCATCCGGAGTAGGGTACGGAGAGAACCGGCAAATCTTATTCGGTTGGATCATGTTCAGGAAGTGCACCCTTATCAAGATGGAACAGTTATGGTCTGGGGAGGAGTCCAGTTAGGCTGAAAAACTGATCTCGTTTTTCTTGAAAGGTTTCTAACAGGAATCACATATCGTGATTTAATTCTTGAGCCTATCGTGTTACCATATGCCAATGATTTTGGGAGAAACTTCATTCTCATGCATGGCAATGCACGGCCTCATACAGCCAGAGTGGTAAGTGAGTTTATCAATGCTCATCAATTAAACATCTTACCCTGGCCGGCACAATCTCCTGACCTCAACCCCATCGAGCACGTATGGAACGCGGTCCAAAGAAGAATTTTGAGAATGGGTATGCCTCGTGAAACTCGTAGGGATCTGGTTCGGGCCGTGAATGCAGCGTGGCAGGTTGTACCTCAAGAAGAGATCGACAACCTGACCAGGAGCATGGAGAGACGATGTAGGGCTGTAATGAACAGTAGAGGAGGCCATACCCTTTATTAAGTAAAATGGTTTTATCTTTTTTTTTTAATTCACAGTTTAGAATAAAAAAAAATGTGTGTATTTTGTTGAGTTCAATAAAAATCAAGGTAAATTTGAAAAAATCGGTAAATTTCGCATTTTTATTTCCAATACGCCATGTAAACTATTTGTTTATTTTAATTTTATTATATCAGAAATGCAAATAATAAAATTACTGACGATGGCTGGATAAAATTGTAATATCCCTAGACTTTTCCGGTGTGTGTATATTAATATCCTGCTATGCGTTCCAATTGTTTCTTTGTAAAATGAAATAAACTACTTTGAAATTAAAATGACAGACACTACATCTATCACTGTCAAGGATCTTGTCGTTGGACAGACTAGATATTCATTCACAGAGCACTTCTGCATGGGGACTAATGTTCAAAGCAAGTTTGAAGAGAAAACCCTACAGGGTAAATCTTAAATCGGTGTAAATATTTTTGATGTGGTATATTTTGGACTCCAAGGCGTGTATTTTTTTTTAAATTGAAGATTTCGTATTTTTCGAAAATTTTCAAAATTTTAACTTAAAGACATAATATTATCTTACTTAATATAGCAAATTATTACTACATGGTAACATAACTTAAAAAAAGTATTAATTTTTGCGACCGACGTCATCTATACTAATATATAAAATCCTTAAGTGACTGACATACTGATTAATCAAGATCCTGCTCAAACCATTCAACGTAAGAAGCTCAATTTTGGCATACAGGTTGATTCTAGAGTGTAGAGGTTCGATAAGAAGGGATTTTTCGAAATTCCAGTTCCAAAAGGGTGAAACCACCCCTCAAATATTACAATATTTTTTATTTAAAAAACGGTCAAGTTTCCGAAAAAACGCTTAAACACGTATATTTTATTTTGTTTTTTTATATATTTTAATTTTTTTTAAAAATGTATACAGGGTGTTTAGAAAATCTGGTCACTGATTAATCACGATCCTGCTTAAAGCGCTTGACGTAAAAAGCTGACTTTTGGAAAGCAGATTGACTTTAGGGTGTAAAGGTTGGATAAGAAGGGATTTTTCGAAACTCGAATTCTAAGGTGGTAAAACTATCCCTCAAACATTAAAATATTTTTTATTTAAAAACCGTTGAGTTTTTCGGAAAAACTCTTAAACACGTATATTTTATTTTGTTGTTTTACATATTTTAAGATTTTTTATAAATTTTGTACAAGGTGTTTCATAAAATATGACCGTTGAGTAATCACGATTCTGCTTAAACTGCTTGACGTTTAAAGCTGATTTTTGGCAAACGGATTGACTGGGGTGTAGAGGTTCGATAAGGAGGGTTTCTAGAATCTCAAATTCTAAGAGGGTAAAAACGCCCTTCAAATATTACAATATTTGTTATTTAAAAAACGGTTAGTCTTTCGGGAAAACGCTTGGACAAATATAATTTATTTGGTTTTTTACATATTTTGAAATTTTTTAAGAAATCATACAGGGTGTTCCCAAAAGTTGGGTAATTTCTTAACCACGATTCTGCTTAAACTGCTTGACATAAAAAGCTTATTTTTGGCAAACGGATTTTTCGAAAGTCAAATTCCAACGAGATGAAACTACCCCTGAAATATTACCACGTTATATAATAAATCGCCATATTGTTTTTTTCTCATGCTGACATAAATGTGAGAAAATTTTATCCAGTTTATATGTTAATGGAAATTCTTGCTTTACTTTATCATCACCGTTACAAATGATTAATTCGACGCGAACGAAGTCGCTGGTACACGCTAATTCAATATAAAACAAAATAGAAGATTAAAAAATTTAGAAACTTATTTGTTATTACATTGCTTGCTTATATGATGTCATTGACAAGAAAGCCAATATTAGAAATATGTTCAGAACCGAGTATGTGAGTCTCTTAAAAAATACATTAAATAATATCCATGTAGGTACTCAGTTATAGACACCCTGTATATTATCTTTTTATAAAATTAATTTTCTCTAAAAAAACTATGTAAAGAATTAATGCAAACTCAATATAAAATAAAATAGAAGATTAAAAAACTGGTTTGATATGCATAAACTATGAAGTAATAATCATAAAAAATGCTTTGACCTTCTGAGGGCAAACTTTGAATATTAATAAGTAATTAATTGAACATAATAAATGTGTTCTATTATTTAAACAAGGTTTACGATGACATTTCTTATTTGTTTAATTGTCGTACGTTATTGTGTAAGGCAGGAATTTTCTAATGATGTGTAGAACATTAAATTTTTATTTTGTGATTTTTTTTTTGTTAAAAAGTACGTGACTCATTAATTTATAATTAGCAAATTAGTATTAGTAGTAGTTTTGTTTTATAGTATGAGTAGTGGGGTTTCATTATTGAATAAAATCTTAATTATTAATGACAACGATCAATGTTCTAGTCGGTTTTAGTATCCCTAAGTACAAAAATATTAAAAATAATTATTGAACAGTTCAAAATAAATAGTCTTTCTAATTATTCAATATGAGTAGCAGCAGCAACTATCTCAAGAGTCCACACTAAATTTACTACAAGAACAAAAACATGCTCGTAAACATAAAAGTGAGATATGTGAATCAGAAAATTTCTGAAGATCTGGTTGTTTCTGATTGTGTTGTACTTACATTTCTAACAACTTACATAATAATAATAAAATATGGTATATTCAAATGTTCCGCCAGGTTTAGTTCATTCTTGGCACACTAGATGGCGCCACTTTAAATTCGAAACTAAAAAAATACACGGGAGTTAGCGTTCTTCTTTAGTATGTTCTCTGTTTGAAATCTAGAGCTGAAATTAGTAGCGAACGGTGCCAATATAAAGGCGCATTTAAAGGATTGAAAATAATTTTGTAACGTATATTTTCATTAACGAATAATTTTCACATTAGTATAACTTATAAATATTATAATATCAGTGCTACTGGTCATAGACGTTCTTGAATTGATCTTGAAAAGCAATGAAAATCATTGACCAATAAAAGTTTTAATAAATATAACAAGCCTTTAAATGGCAAATCTAATTTATTATTATAATTTTATCCGAATTAAAAATGTTAATGTATATTATTATAAACAAAAATTATCAAGAACTATTGGCATCAACAGAACCAACTGGTCAAATTGATAAATTGAAGATTAGCTCATGCAAATTTCATGATAGTAACGTTGCATAAGCGTGAGTGAGATAAAATTGTGCGTGGTCTTGACCAAGACACTGAATTCGTCTTGTTTTTTTCCATCGCTTGTTGATATGGATTCCAGTAATAAATATTGACTAATTTGTATTATGACATCCGAGGATATAAAAGCATCATTAGCATTTATTCAATTTAATAATAATTAATTACAGATATTACACACATCTGATAATATAAATGAATAAACTTGATGTATGAAGATGTCGTTTTTATGGGTATTTCCCCGCTATCGGAAGCTAAATAGAGATAAAAGAACAACAGAAAAAAAATAATACACGCAAGTAAAAAGGATAAAAACAATTTAAAATAAATAAAAAATTACAAAATCTCAAAAAATAAACTTGCCCACCCTTTTCCCATTGCTTCAGAAGTTACTTAACTTCTCTAGAATTTTGTGGAAAACCGCATAGTCAAGAGCCTAATATTTAGCTTATAAAACAATAAATTTCCCATACAGCACATCAAATCACATTTACGATGTGTTTACATTATTAGATGTAGACACAGGGTGACACAATTCCCCCGATGTAAATATGCTACGTTTACACATTGTAGTTCAACACGTATGCACAAAGGTTAAACGTCCGCCTCACAATGCAGCCACGGTATAGCATTTACGTATACACAAAGTAAGGGATACACAGTGTGCCGTAGGATACACAATGCTTGTGTATTACGTTTAAATTCGCACATTGCAGTTGTGACTACCGCGTGTATACGTATGTATTTTGCTTCGTATATATATATCTTGTAAAAACTAACTAAAACTACTTCCTATGAACGAATTTAGGAAATAATACAAGTTTTGATGCTTAACTTTATATCCAATTCCATCTCCCAATCCCAATTATATCTTTTTAGAACGAAAATTAGGAAGGCAAAACTTTGTATTTTCCAAAAAAAAACACTGTAAAAGAACAGAATTTGTATCAAAATGTATTCAAAATATAAGTACCTAGTATAACAACATACTAAAATGGTAAACACTGGTATATCGCCACGATTTGGTGGACCTCGTTTAGTCATTTTTTCTCCTCTTTTCCTTCCAAGCAGTTGGTTTGTTAGCATACTCATTCATCGAGCACTCTGTTGGACTTTGTTGTATTTTATTTCCAGATTAACAATCTCACCCTTAAATTTTATATGAAACTGATTATTGAATATTAAACATATCTGTATATTGATCCATCAATAACTTACCGAATATCAGTGTAAGAAGTTCTTTGAAGTGTTGTTTGTCTTTGAAAATGTTTTTTTCTCTGGTCCATTTAGATTTTTATTATTTCCAAATTAAAAAAAATTATATTGCAGTGCTAACCTCTTTATCATTATAAGAGAATATTTGGAGTTTTCATTCATTGGAGTCAAAATTTGGTAGATTGGGTATCGAGTACGGGAAGAGTCGCTACTATAATATTAATAATACACTTAGGAAGGTGTAACAAGGTAATTAAAACTTGTGCTTACCTTTAAATCTCTTTTAAACTACACACAAACAGAACATTTATATAGAGCTTCCGAATGATAAAACAATAATGGCTGCTAACACATACCACTGCTAGAAAGGAGAAAGGAGAGAGGACACATAAGATACACTTGGTCTATGTGCGCACGCTATCCGCGCGTGCGCACACCTTCAACAGTACACTATTACAAAGTGTCTATATAGATATTTATATTATGTGTATACGTCACATTTCTACATAGTGTGTACTATAAGCACAACTATGATACGAAGTATCACACATACATATGACTTATACATGTATGTCTCATATACCGACGTCAGATTTCATCATTTTAATTATTATTTGTTACGTTACAAAAAACTCTTTAGAATCCTGTGTGCACACGGTATACAACTAGTAAACACTGTATCACACAATTCTATCAATATAAACCTGCGTGTATCTCATATGTTAGAACTAGATGAACACTTAGGTTCACTTTAACATATTTTGTTTTTCATGTGTCTCCCTTGTAGAAACGTAATTTCATTTGGACGTGTTGTATGGGTTATTAACGCTAACTAAAACGGTAACTTTATTCAATCCTCAATTTGTGATTAAACATTTTTTTTATTTGGTTCATAAATTTATCATTTCCAAATGACAAAATGACTTTAATAAAAAAGTTTAGTATCTAACACCAAAAGTGATGATCGACTGTAAATATCAGAATGCACAAACTAACAAAAAAACACAAACTATAAACTATAAATACAAATCACTGAAATCACCGAACTTTCCGACAAATGAAGATAAGAATATTTGAATTAGTAATTATTTTAATAATGATTTAAAAATAACTTGACGGATCACAATATTTTGTCAACTAGATCAAAACTAGACCATGAACGGTAGTCAACATAGGGACTGTCATGTCATCTTCATATATAAATTAGAAACATGTACTTAACGTAATGTCTTTTACGCCGTCTGGCGATGCGGAAGAAAATATCCCGTCAATTCTTATTACTGTTACTGTAAATGTCCGAAATGCGGTAAAACCTAGGATAGCACGCTGAAACCTAGGAGAAGCGCGCTAAAGCTAGGATTTACCAATGAATTAACACCCTCCAAATAACCACGAATAACCAACTCGAAATGCGGGAAAACCTAGGTTTTACGCATATAAACGATAAGTACTTTGGATAAATTTATACTCATATTAAAGCATGATAAATTGTCTTTGAAACAGCTCATATTTTTTTCTTGGTCTGATAAATAGATTCTAAAAGACACAGTTAAAGTCAAAAGTTTACAGTGGGCCAATTTCTATGCGCGCAAGTTTACATGTACTTTATTTTGTTGTATAATCTTTTGAATACAACTCGATATTTTGGGATTACCTAATACTTTAGCCTAACACTTAATGCGATACCGGCAACACTGCTCCTCGTTCAGAGTCGTAGTGTTGCCAGGTAACGCCTTTCGTGTCAGGTAAAAGTATTATTTGGTAATCCCGAAACATCTTGTGGTATTACATTCGATAGTATTATTTTGTTTAAAAAGATATTCGCGACTGTGAATATTCAATTTGCGATCCTGTGTAGGTAGGAGAGAAAATTATTATTTCTAATGACTTACCAATAGTTTATTTTAATTTAATGCTTAAATATCTTACGCAAAACACTTGGGATAAATTCTGTGTTGCTAAAGACCAGGAAAAATACTTAAAAAAAATAAGGCTACACTAAAAAACTATACCTACTGTCTAAATTTCAAACAAATTTCAACTATGTTTTTTTAATTCGATTTGAAAATTTAAATAGAATATAATTATAAGGGTTAAAAGTGAACGGGTTCATGTTCCCAATATTGGAGGTAACCAGTATAACAATGTTCCCTTAAATAGTAAAAACGGTTAGATAATACATATTCATGATAGTCAGTAATGTAATAGATCGTTTGATTTTCGTTAAAAGTGTGTTTTATTTAAATCAATAGAATGATTCAAAATTATAACAAATTGTGACATACCTAAACAGCATGCCTTTTGCGTGCTACATTCTAAACATTATATGTTTAATATTCTCTTAAAAAAAGTCTACAATGGTTGTCAAAATATCCCTGAAAGGTGTGCTTATTGATAGACATGTTAAGAACCATTAGAAGTAGCTCCATGTTTTTATTTATAATATATTTTATTAGCTAGAACTTCCATTTTTTTTATTCTTAAATGTTTAGTATACAGGGTGGCCCATCGAAAACATTCCGCATGCGGAGAAGAACAAACTGAAGATCCTGAACTGCACGTACATGAAATTAAAAGGTGTAGCGAATATAAATATTTAGGAAGTATTATATCTGAAGAAGGGAACTCCAAGAAAGATATACATAGCAGAGTTCAACAAGGTAAGAAAGTAATCGGTTTTTTAAACCCCCTCCTGTGGTCAAATAAAACATCCATCCAAACAAAGCTAAGGATTTACAAAGCAATCGTATAGAGCCAATTTTAGCATACGGTGCCGAATGCTGGCAATTTACAGCAAAAGAAAGAAGGATGGTCGAGTCAGTGAAGATGGACTTTCTCAGAAGAGCATGTCGAATATCAAGGATGGAGCACATTAGAAATGAGGAGATCAGGCAAAGAACAAGACGAATATATACCAGCACCGACAACATCGAATCGAGACAGCTACTATGGTATGGGCACGTAAAAAGAATGGGAGGGGAAAGATGGCCAAAAAGGGCAATGGAGTATCGTCCCCAAAGCAGAAGCAAAAGAGGAAGACCTCCAACTACGTGGTTAGATGGAGTAGACCAGTACATGAGAGACAGAGCTATTAACCAGGAAGAATGGCAAAATCGAGCAATATGGAGGTTGAAATGCGGGATGCGGCAGAAGCTTTTTTGAAGAATGCATTTTCCTGAAAATGTCAATAATAAAAAAGTTTTTCCTCTTGTAAAGAAAATCCTGGAACATACTGTAGATAGCTTAGTTCCTTAATAACGGGCACATCCTGTATATCTTAAATTAACGCAAAACGACATAATGATAAATAGCGCAACAAAATAGAATATTCCTTCAGTAACAAAGACAGTTAACAAATTTTTACAATTTTAATTGAAATAACTTCTTTGAATACTAAAACGAAGAAAATGGAATTACCTGAATGAAGGATGAAAAAACAAACTTAAATATATTGATTATAGTCAATTACTTTAGTACAGTAAAGAACATTATGAAAGATTCCACAATAACAGTTTGTGTGGGTCTTATATATTTTGTGTCATGAACAATGATAGTATTGTTTTCCAACAAACAATTTTGTGTCGTGTATAATTATGTTTATTTTAAACATTAAATTACTAAACGGGATAATATTCTAGGTTTATATTTGGAAAAACTTATTTAAAATGATGTTCAACATCATAGTGAACTATATATGAGATGTTATTCTTATTGCATTACTAAGCTTTCAAATGACTATACCAAGGGATGTCAGTTGTATGTCCAAACAAATGTTTAAAAATTATGTTTACAATTTAATTCTAAAGCCTCTTTAAAACATATTTAAAAAGCAATATGCATGCATAGCGTATTATAAATGATGATTTATGAATATTATGTATTGGACGACTTTGATTGGAATTTAGTGGAATTGATATTATTTATCTTTTTCTGTTAGAATATTTACAAATTCTAACACTTAAGAGCCTTTATACAAAATTTGTAATAATATTTTGAATTGATGTAAGATGGAAGAAAAGAATTTCTTCTTGAAATCTGATTTCTTTAATACATCTTAACTTTTTTTAATCTTATAGTAACCACAAACCTCAATATATATCCTGAAGAATAAAGTACACTTATAATGCAGCAATTCTTACACTTCATTCTTAACTGAATGGTGAAAATCGCCTGACTACCGTTAAACCGTTACAAGCTTTTAATAACTGCCTACAGTAAATTGTTTTATAGACAATTAAAAAGTAACAAATCTATACTTTGAAGTATAACTACGGGATGTAAGTGCGAGGAAATTGGGGCTTTATCTTTTTATATATTTTTTTTTTCTTTGAGTACTCTAAAAAGTCTTTTCTTATACAGGGTGAGACTTAAATAAATGCAAATATTTTCAGGGCTGGTAGAACTCGATAAACTAAACATATTTTCTCTTTGCCGTTTCTCAAATAAGTTCAAAATAACAAAAATAATTTTTATAATATTAAAAAATGTTTTTTGTTCAAAATTTAGAGAACCACTAACCACTAGATCTTTTCTGGGTTTTCTTTCTTGTAAATTTGATTTACTGCCTATGTTACTATATTATCAAGAAATTATGTTTTATAACTAAAAACTAAAAAAAATCTAAATCTTCAAAAAAAAAATTCGCGTAAAGAACACATATTCGTGTTTCTGGGGCCGAAATATTTTACTACCCCTAATAATATTTGCGCTTATTTAAGACTGACCCTGTATATGGGAATGCACACTACAGTGATCTTGAAGAACCCTACAAAGTCCTTTTCTTAAGAATTGTATAATCCGATTATATATATTTCCAAAAATACATTGAATTCAAATTAGCATACATTCCTTTCTCGCTTGGTGTTACGGTGTTACCATATTTTCAATCTGACGTGCCAGAAAATGTTGCTTGTTTTTTTCAACACACATAGCTATATACCCATCTCTATTATTCTTTATTATAAATATTTCGAGCAAGTGTGCTACATTATCGTATTTATGAGATTATAACTTTTTTAAAAAGTAACAAAAACAACAGATCCGCATTTAGAAAATAAATTTGATAATGAAACATGAAACGGAATGTCTTATAAATATCTATAATAATATCAATTTTTAGAATACAAAATTTAACAAGAACATAAAATTTGTAATGACACATCTTTTAAAATAGTCACCAAAAGAAAACAAAAATAAAATTAGAACAAAATACATGAAAAATATCATAATATTATTTCTTTTTAAAATGTGTCATGTGCTTGAAATCTACAAAACAACCTATGCACATTAAATTTAACTATTTCAAAGAAAACATGCTAAAAACTAATAGCAGAATTTTAATACCATTTAAATTAACATGTTAACAAATTTACACGTATTTTCTTAATCTTACCTATGACTCTATTCTGGTCTTTGGAAAGTATCATAATATTTTGGTAATTATCATAATTGTAACAAATATTATCTTAAATTATATTAGATAAATTGATTTACTAATTTGAAAATAAATACTTCCCTTTTTTAGCCAATTTTCCTAATCAATATAAATTATATCCGTCAATATATTATTAAGATTCTCGATATAAATTATTCAGAAATAACCGATTTCTTGTCTGCAATCAATACCATTGTTTATTTATTCAAAAAAAATTTAACCGTTTGAAATAAAACTTATTGCAAAACTTTTCTGATTTCGTAGGTTTACAGGTAAATTTATATAGTAATAATTTATACTGAATATTGCAACCGCGTGTTTTAAATACTAATGCCGAAATTCAAAGCATTTATTGTTACTAAAAGGGTATCTAGGCATATGTATATATAATTGTTTTTTTTATAATGATGATCTGGAAATACGTGAAGTAAAGTTAATATTAATATTTTTTTTAATTAATAATTCAGTACTTTTTAGTCAGACTAATGACATTCATGTAACTAAATGTGATGAACGAAAATCAATGTCAAACCATTTTAAATTTTTTATTAAGTGACTATTCAGCCATCATAAGATCTTTATCAAATTATACCGGGTGGTGCATCGTCGTTGGAAACATAGAAAACAAAACATTGGAATATGTTTCCAACAACTATGCACCACCTGGTAGATAGCAGCAGTCAAACAGTTCAGTTTATTTTCCTAAACCGAATTACTAAATTTAAGAACCACATTAAAATTATATTAAAATCTAATATTTCTAATGAGTATTTTAATAGTTTGGTTTCTATAAATATTAAAAGAAACTGTAGACGAATAAATAATCAAAAAGATGGCATAATATCGTGACAACTAAATGTTCGGACACTTTAAAAAATAACTGTTTTAGTATGGCGTTACATCAGCATGCGCTTTTACAACGACAGGAAGCCTGTCTGACATTGTTTTATTAATGATTGCCATATACCAGGACGAAAATTTTGCCATAATTCACTTAATATCATCGTCAAATGGGCAACGGTTTGTTGGAGATCGTCAAGCAATTTTTGTTTCTTTTTGTGCCACAATGTCCCGATAACATTAAGGTCTGGACTGTGCGAAGGCCATGAGAGCACCCTAATGTGATTGTCACTAAACCTAGACCTCTATTTGAGTAGTTTTAGCCGTGGCATGCACCCCATCTTATTGAAATGTAAAATTCATATCCTGGCAAAGGTCTCTCACACTTGACACAAAACTGTTTTTCAAAATTTCTTGGTATTTTGACATAGAACTGTGCCTCCTACCACCTTATACCTTCCCAGACTAGATATACAAGCATAATGCCTTTACGAAATTCCACTGTTCTTTTGAGGCAATCTTTCATGAGGTTCATGCATGCGTAAACACGTTATCCTTGCACTTGCAATTTGCGATTGAAATTATCAGCGTCGGATTGGAACTTCTGATATCACGAACTACAAAAATGACATTAAGGTTCAATATTAGTTCAAAGTTATTCGTTTCACAGACTATATGAGGTGGTCGAAGGTACAATTAATGCGCCAAACAATTAAGAAAATTTGAAAAATAGTCTTGTGCCGAGCACGAAGGACCTTTACCAGGAGAGGAAATTTTTTATATTTCAACAGGATGGCGATGCATACCATACGGCTAAAACTACTAAAAAATGATTTATGGACAATAACATTGAGATTGAGACATTGTGGCATAAAACAAAACAAAAATTGCGTGACGATCACCAACAAACCGTTTTCCTACAGTTTATTTTAATGTTTATAGAAACGAAATTATCTAAATATTCATTAGAAATGCTACATTTTAATATATCGTTAATTTAGTTCTTAAATTTAATAATTCAATTTGTTTAAATTAAAGTTTTCAATAAATTTTTGTTAGTCCGAATATTTAGTTGTTAGGGCTCGTACATACAGTGTGGCGCCTAAGAAATTGGGAATTATGACCAACACCCACTAAGCAAAAAACCTCACATTACATTTGCAACATTGCAGTCAATCATTGTTTTTGAAAGGCGATTAAAATGTTTTTTCTTCAACATTGCAACAAAGATTCAAATGGAAGGTCCGCGCAAGTTAATATTATAACAAATATATGTTAGGTTAGGTTAACGTTAAACTTGTTGAATGAGATTTTGATGAATATAAATGTAAATATAATTTTATTATTGTGTGTGTTTTCATAATGGTTAGGCCATGAATAAGTATAACAATTATTAGACTTATTGAAAAGTATAAAAATTGACAAATAAAACATAACATATTAGGCAACTCAAAGGTCCCGGATTTCCAGGAAAATTCCGGATATAGAAAAGTTCTCTAGGATCCTGGAAAATCATTATACTCTGCCGGAAGGCGTCGAACAAATTATAATATCAAATGTTATGTTAGGTTCATAAAATAAAAAAATAGTAAAATGCTTAATAATATTCTATCACATTTTCCGATTTAGTTTCTTTCGTTTATACAGGGTGAGTCAGAAGTAAGGGCAAATATCTTCAGGATTGGTAGATCTCGAAAAAAAAGCATATTTTCTCTTTACCGTTTTTCAAATAAGTCCAAAATAACCGAGTCATTTTACCTTAAAAATAAAAAAAATCGATTTTCGTCATTCATATGTTTGGTAATTATACCGGGTGAGTCTCAAAAGTGGCTCACCCCTATAACTTTTTTCTTTTTAAAGTTAAAAAAACGAGATTTGGTATGTTAGTATATGACATAAATTAGGATTGATTGACGTATTCAATTGTTTTCGGTCACTTCCGGTTTCACCGGAAATGACTACAAGTTTTGATTTTTAAATGACACCCCCGGTATTTTTTTACTTGATTCGATAGAAAATGTCATTCTGAATAGAATGACATATCATATGTCAACTTTTGACATTTTCGCATATGGTTTATTTCAAATTATAATTTGCCGTTCGTAACGAAAATTTGATTCGAAATACCAAGTGTGTGGTATCAAATTATTCGTAAAAAAATGCTTTTTCCAAATATGCTAATGAGCCACCCTCGTTCCATTTGAAAAAACTGAGATATGATTAAAAATACGATTTGAGCATTTTCTAGCTGGTCAGGACAAGCCACTAAAAACATTAGACGATCAAATCTATTTTTCCAAGACTCCTTGATGAAGAATTAGTGTCTTTAACATAGTCATGGCACTCTAGATTGAATTTTTAAATACAAATTTTGATTAAGCGAGAATATCAAAAGTTGACATATGATATGTCACTATTTAGAATGTCATTTTCTAACGAATAAATTAAAAAAATACCGAGGGTGCCATTTAAAAATCAAAAGTTGTAGTCATTTCCGGTGAAACAGAAAGTGACCAAAAACAATTGAATACATCAATCAATCCTAATTTATGTCATATACTAACATACCAAATCTCGTTTTTTTATCTGAAAAAATAAAAAAGTTATAGGGGTGAGCCACTTTTGAGACGCACCCGGTATATAACTAACTTTTTTGCTCTAGACTTTTTTCCCTCCCGTAATTTAAATATAAAATCTGTCATCCCTATATATCCTCCATTTCTTGTTCTATTTAGTTCTTGAGCTTTAGAACTGATTTCGAAATATAACTGACATTGGTTATTATTAGAGAACTCATATTAGAGAAAAAAATCAATAATATGATTTATAAATTTTTGAGATAATTGATAATTTACTATTCTATTAGTACTGGAAGATAATATTGAGAACAGTATTTTACAAAAAGGACACATGGTTTAAAAAATAATAATTTCAAAATGCTCTACCAAACAAAAACCTATACGTGGTGAGTCTTAAATAAATGCAAATATTTTTAGGAGTAGTATATTTCGACCCCAGAAACACGATTATGAGGTTTTTTTTCGCGAAAAAAAAAGAATAAAATTTGCAATTTTTTGAAAAAAAATTTGCAATTTTTTTAGTTAAAAAACATAATTTCTTGATAATATGACAACATAGGTAGTATAATAAATTTACAAGAAAGAAAACCCAGAAAAGATCCAGTGGTTCTCAAAATTTAAGAAAAAAAAAATAATTAAAATTTTCAAAGTAATAACCCAGTTATTTTGGACTTATTTGAAATACGGTAAAGAGAAAATACGTCTTTTTTAGCGATATCTATCAACCCTGAAAATATTTGCACTTATTTATGACTCACCCTGTATAAACAGCCCATTTTTACATTTATTTTATATTTTTTGTTAAAAATAAAAAAAAATTGGATAGTATTTAAATTTTCCTAATAAATATAAAAATACCTATTTAATATAAAGAAAATAATTATTATCCAAAAATTTTAAAAACTCACCTCAAAAATATTCTTCTAGCCGAATAAGGCAAATAAATTAAACACAAAAAACAATCAAAAACTAAGTAACTTTTCTCAAACGAATATACTTCTATACGTCTTTGGTATTGTTAAACTGACTTAGATCGTACGACTCTCGTGTATCATCCCGTTTGTAAGTCCGGTACCGTCAACCCTTCCAACGATCGAGAACTACTGAGTCCGGCATATTTATCAAGCCGACTTATAAATTGAAGATTAGCGCATGCAAATTTCATGGTGTCGGCGTTACGTAAACGAGGCTGTTGTGATCGAGATGCGTGTTCGCCGCCGTTAGGCTGGGAGGAACGATTTTTGCTCAGTTCGATGTTGATAGATGGTTGAGTGATTAGGTGAAACGCGATAGATAACCCTTGGAAGTACACTTTGATTCGCACGTATTTCGGTGAGAACAGTAATAATAATAACAAACGGGTGATTTGAAAGTTTTGCATGAACATGTGGCGCAACATCTTTCAAAGACGTAGCTATGGCAAACGTGATAGAATAAGATATTAGCACCCTCAGAGAAATGACATCTTCTCAGTACGGGTTTTGCACGACCGAAGTATCCTAGCAAGATGGTCACTATGCTTCAGCTTGTACAGGATTAAAAAAAAATCATTTTTCTTTTATATCTTGGTCGAAAACCCCTCCAGAATCTTGTAATAGAAGAGAATAAGATATTATGTGATGATACATTAGAAATTCTTCATATAAATAGAGTATATTTTGGTCTATTTTATGCAGACCTAATGTGGTCTTCTTAAGGTGCCGTGCAGATTCCTGCGTAGACGTTCATCTTTTTCTTCCTCATCAGATTGTTCTATTAACTGCAGCGACTTGGAGTGCTTGGAAGTCCTGTATGCCTGTCCAATGACGAATATTTCTCAGCCAGGATAGCTTCCTTCGGCCTATTCCCAGTCGCTGAAAGTGATAGCGTTCTCCACGTAGTATGTGTCCCAAATAGGCTATTTTCCTCTTCTTGATGATTTCGAAGAGTTCACGTTGCTCCAGACCAGCTCCTCTGAGAATGTCTTCATTCCTCACACGGTCGACCCAGGGCACTCTTAGCATTCGTCGTAGGGTCCACATTCAATTCGATTTATTGTTGCTACCTTCAGTGTCCATGCTTCCACACCATATAACAAAACGGACCAGACATAGCACTTCACCATTCTGTATCTAAGGCCGAAGTTCAAGTTCCTATCTGTGAAAAATCTTCGCAGTCTCAGAAAAGTAGATCTTGCTTGTTCGATCCTGCATTTGATCTCCTGATCTGGATCCCACGTTTCGTTAACCATGCATCCCAAATATTTAAATTGGGTGACCTGCTTGATGACCTCTCCATTTAAGTAAATTCTGGTGTTCGGAATATTGTTTCTGCTAACAGCCATAAATTTAGTTTTTGTAGTATTTATGTTTAAACCCAGTCTCTGGCTTTCATTGTTAACCTTATTTAGAAGGGTTTGGAGATCATTTGCATTGTCTGCCAATATCACTGTGTCATCCGCATATCGGATATTATTAATTGGAATGCCATTTATTTTCAAACCAATGGGACTATCGGAGATTGACTCAGTGAATGCTCTTTCCACATATAAATTGAACAACATTGGAGACAGAATACACCCTTGCCTTACCCCGTTTTTTATTTCAAAATCTTCAGTTACTCCCATGCTATGTATACGAATTTCAGCTTTTTGGTTCCAATACTACTGATGAGCCTTATATCTTTTCCATCAAGTCCCAAGTCTCTGAGGTATGATATAAGGAGGTTATGTTTAACATTATCGAACGCTTTTTCATAGTCTATGAAGCACATGAAGACATCTTTTCTCTGAAAGAATATGGCTTCTCTAATACCAAAGCCATTCTTAAATCCAAATTGACTTTCTCCACTTACTTCCTCACATTTTTTGTAGAGTCTTGTATGCAGTACCCGTAAAAAGAGCTTAAGAAAGTGGCTCATTAGACTAATAAGACGATACTCTTTACACGAAGGTGCGTTACTTGACTTGGGCAGCGTGATAAACGTAGAACGAAACCAGTCTTCAGGGATGTGACCGGTGTCATAGATTTTATTGAAAAGCTGTACTATAGTTTTTAAGTTTTGTTCATTAATTAAGTGGAACGTTTCCGAATACATACCATCATGCCCTGGAGTTTTGTCGTTCTTCATTAATCTAATCGCATGAATAATTTTACTTTCCAATATGCTTGGTCCTGATGGCATGGGAATCTCAGTTGCAGGGTTTTCTGATCTTTCGTCGTTGAAAAGATTAATGGTATAATTTCTCCAAGTTTGCAATAGTTCTTCTGTTTCCATTATAATTTTATTTTTATAATGAGGTTACTAATCTGGTCACCATCATATTATTTCATCATTTTTTTCCCAAGATATTTTTTAAATACTTTACTATCAGAATATAAACGAAAATAAAATAAAAAAATCTTTGCCCTGACTCGGATTCGAACTCTGAATCCTCGGTTCGTAGTAGGAAATTCTACGCACTGCGCTATGGAGACATGTTCGATGTACAATCAATACTAGACTTTATAGGACTAAATTTTAAAAAAATATATAGGATCTTCTTCCGATGCGCAGTAGTGAACGCAACGGGTATCGGCAGCCAGACGGGCCGCATGCTGTTCCAGAGAGCATAGTAAAAGATATATCAGAGAGCCAGACGTCTTAAAATACTTTCTCAAAAACGTTGCTAGCTCTTTTTTGTATTTGACCAAGAGTGGGTCCCAGGTGGGACCCCCCTCTGCGGCCGCGAGGGCCTATTGTGGCTCAGTTTCTACAAGCTCTTTAATAGAAAAAGAGCATTAAAGTTCACCCTCAAGACCCAGCCTTTTAACATAGGCCGTTATGTCCGAGGGTGATATGTCTTCTAGGTCTGATAGGTCTAGCGTGGGTTTGCCAAACACCTCAAACCTGGTCCTGCACCTGGGCAGGTACACATAACGTGCTTCATTGTTTCGTCATCTTCCATACAGAGTTGGCATTCGGCGTCTTCCACCAGTCCCATCCTCTGTAGGTGTGATCTCAGCCAGCAGTGGCCCGTGTATACTGCAGTAAGCGTACGCGCTCCGTTCCTACCAGCCTTTAGGAGTTCATCTGTTCTACGTTTGGATGGCCCTGCTAGGATTGTCTTGTCCGAAGTCCCGAAACGTGGCACCCCTAACCCATTCACAGAGCCTGTCTCTTGCGAGATTTTTTGGTACGCTAAGTGTCGGTTCTGGGCCCAAGAATGGCGAGCCTGCACCAGTTTTGGTGAGGAAATCAGCACGTTAATTTCCCTCTAGGCCGACATGTCCCAGTATCCATATTAGCGACACTTTGTTTCCATCTCCTAATATATTGAGTAGTTTCTTACAATGAAGAATCGTCCTGGACGTGCTTTTCGTTGCCTCAAGTGCTTTCAACGGGGCTTGACTATCCGAAAATATGCTTATTGTTTTCCCGGTGCATTGCTGTTCTACCAGCAGTTGCACACAGGTTTCAATCGCATATAGCTCAGCTTGGAAAATTGTGGTGTGTTTTTCAAGACTGTGGTAGATCTCAGTCTTTGGACTGCTGCAGTAAATTCCTGCGCCAGATCCTTTATCGTTTTTGGATCAATCCGTGTACCAACACATTTCCGCAAGTAATAAGCCGTTTCTCGGCTTATCCCATTCGTCCCTATTCGGAAACAGGACGTTGTAGGTATCAAGAGTTGGATTGGTGGTGTGAGATCCGAGAACATTCCCAGAATCTCATCCGATTGTAGTTCGTCTACTAGTCGGTTTTGTATGAACATGATTCCATGGCTCTCTCGTGCCATATTTAGAAACCTATATGTAGCCAATCTCGCCTCTCTCTCCAAAAGAATTTGAAGAGGAGGTAAGTCGAGTAGGGTTCCATAGCTTTTGACGGCGTAGAATGAAAGGCACCAGTCACCGCTAAGCATGCTTGTCGTTGTAATTTTGACAGTTTATTCTTTGCCGTTGTTTGGTGTGGCTTTCTGCCACCAGGCAACTGCGCCATACGTGAGAATAGGTCTGATGGCTAGCCTAGAATAGGTCTGATAGGTATAGCCAGTACATATTTTTGGGGTTTAATCCCCAGTTTCTACCACAAATTCGGCGGCATACCCATAGAGCATAGCAAGCCTTTTTTGATATTTTTTCTAGATGGGAGTTCCAGCTAAGTTTTTTGTCCAGGTTTAATCCTAGATACTTAACTTCCTCCGCAAACGGAATTGTCTCACCAAGAAGAGTGGGCGGTTTTAGCTAGCTCTTAGACTAATGCCTTGTTAGTACTGTCTTTCTATTTTGCTTATCAGGTTTATCAAAATGTCACGATTTTGGAAAAGCCCAATTGCAAGTATTGTATACCATATTTCGTTGGTTTTAATATCAACTTCAAAAATTGGGAAACATTAGTAACATATAGATAAGATATAACTAATTTAATATTCTACTTTTTACAAAGCAAGCTTTAAAAAAATAAGATTAGAATTGCTGCGTAATATTTCAAAATATTAGCTATAAACAAAAATATTTTGATTTTAATCTATGAAACTGTTTTTTTAAACAAAAGAAAGTATATTATTTTAGAAATAAATTATTAGGGTTTAATATACATTAATCTTTAAACAATGGAGATGTAAATTTAATCCATTTTTTCGATAAATCAATCATCCGATAATTGCACCTATTAAACGGTAAATGCACGATTACAGTTGCTGATTTTTTTTATTAATTTGTTGGTATCTTGTCTCATTTTCACCTCAGCGTTTAATATAAAACGACAGCAGGGCCTATAAATGTGCGTTTTTTCACATATTTAATAAAGCATGTTTAATTTTAAGACTTTTTATGGGCTAAATGTTAAATATGAGAATCTCTTTTCTGCATACTGACTTTTTTAGAGGCAGTTTTGGTATATTTTTACTTTTGCAATAGTTTCATTACCACCAAATGCCTTTTATAGAAGAAGTACTTTTGTAACTAAGAAAAAACTAAAAGTTTAGGAAAATGTCTGATTTTTACACCACTTAACCCTACTATAAGGAAAATGTTTGAAATAAGAAATAAGGACGGATCCTTAGAGACTTAGTAGAACAGGAATACCAACAATAAGAAGAGGAGGAACAATCTGGTTTTCGGACTGGGAGAACCTGTACCGATAATATTTTCTGTCTGAAACAACTAATATTAGAAAAAATGTAGTATTGATCAGGAAACACACCTCATGTTTATTGACCTTCACAAAGCATATGATACCTTTCCAATTAACAGACTATTAAAGGTACTACAGGACACCAACCTTAACTACACCTTAATTAGATCTCCG